TAGAGATGTGACACCAGAAGGGGTTTATTTAAAACCACAACTAATATCACAATTAAATGACAAGAATATCGCATATATTTGTTGTGGTGGTTGGCATTCCCTGGCCCTCACGACCGATGGAAAGGTGTACGGGTGGGGCGACAATAATTGGGGACAAATAGGATGTGGGTACATCGAAAATAATATAATGTGTTCACCAGTTTTGATACAATTCGAAAACGATTATAAGATGAAAAATATATTTTGTGGTCTCCGGAGTTCATTCACAATTACTTTAAATGGTTTGGTATTTAGTTCGGGTCGTAATAGTGACCATCTATCTGGACATCAATCACTAGATTTTATCCCCAAATTGATTCCACAGTTAAATAATATCAAATCTATTTGTTCGACAAATAAAAAAGAAAATAATTTCACATGTTTTCTATCCAATAGTAATAGAATTTATTTTTGTGGCAAATATACTGATGACATGAAACAAGTCCAAATAGAAATACTACCCAGACCAATTTCAATGAAATTAAACGTTCAACACATTGATGAAATGCATTCATTTGTTTATCGAGATATCATATTAATACAAACTGATGACACCATTTGCGCACTTTTCTCACCAAACGGTGTGCAAAAATCTAAATATAATAATTTTATAGATTATTATGCAGAATGGCAACTAAGTTATAATACACTGCATATAAATATGAACATGGTCACAAATCTCTCTGAATCTGTAATGAAAACAAATAAAACGCCAAATTTTAATCCAAAACAATATAATACTAATACAAATGAAGGTATGAAGTTATTTGGTTTTATTTTAAATAAATAATATTATTATTGTATTTGTTATAATTAAGATATTTTATTCACAAAATAGTTGTAACAAAATTGGGACATAATTTGCATGAAAACCATTACAAAAGTCTGTTCATTGAGTTGTCGGCCATCGGTTCCGGAGGTTTTGGAACCGTATATAAAGTAAAGCACAGAATCGATAAACACTTATATGCCGTCAAAAGAGTCCTCATTAATGGTATTATAAAATGGAAAATATTTTTAAAAACTATTTTGAAGTATTTCAGACTTTTCTGAGGAATACTTACAACGAGTCTATAAAGAAGTCCGGAATTTAGGAGCCGTTCGCTCAGAATATTGTGTTCAGTTTTACAACTCATGGCCTGAAGACAAACACCTCTACATTCAGATGGAGTTCTGTTCAC